TCCAGTGCAATCCTGACTTGAGCATTGAGTAGAGTTCTAGAATACGATCCTCAGACATATTAACTAAAAATAACGGATAACTCACGTATTTAAGTCGAATTTTTGCTCGACATGTTTCGAATCAATTGTCATCCGCGCGCGCTCATTCCGAGCAGACGTGTGTCACAGTCCCACAATATTATAAACTATAGCAATATACCATTGTGCAGTGAAATTTGAACACTATTACTTCACTATTAAATCGATATTCGTTCCGCAGAACGCAAGCGCATAATTCTTTCTTATTGTGTATCGGTTCCGACACACGCTGCCATTGACCTCATTTCATTTGACGAAGAGAAGGAACCACTATAAAATGAGCTTGCTACGTTCGCCTACGCAAACCAGCGAGGGTCGCAGTAGGACTGGCTCTGAACCTGACCTATCGCGGCAAGACAGCGAATCGCTCGGCGTGACACTAAGGAAACGAAAAAGACCAGAATTAGACAACCAATTTAAGACTGAGTTTGCGGAATTTCGTAAAGAGATTATGAATTTTCTGACGGATTTTAGCGCATCGCAGAAGGAAGACTTTAGAATTATGAAAGAGGACATTAGTCAAATAAAAAATCAAGCCACGGCGATGAACACAACCGTCGAAAAACTCGTGCATGAAAATTGCGAGATGAAAAAGGACATTTCAGACCTAAAGGAGTCCCTTAACTTCCATTCAGCCGAACAGGGAGCGCTTAAATCGCGCCTTGACTCAACAGTCACCACCATCGGCAAGTTTAAATCGCTGGAACAGAACTTCTACAAGCTTGAACAGGAGCATCACCACCTACAGAGCGAACACAACCTTTTGCAACAAAGGGAGCGGCTCCTTAACCTGGAAATAGCAGGGATTATGGAAAAGGCAGGTGAGAACGCAAGGTCTTATATGATCGGAATCGCCAAGTGCGCGAACATCGATTTGACCGATGATGATATAGTTGCCGCTCACCGAGTCCAGCCAAAAGTACAAGTACCTGGCAGACCTAAAAACATTATTGTCCAGCTGAAATCCTTAACATTGAAAGACAGCATCATATCTGCAATCCGCCGGAGGAAGGGTATTACATCAATTGAAATAGGAATCCAGGGTGAATCACGCAACATTTATGTCAATGAACATCTGATACCCGCCTTAAAGATTCTCCTTAAACAGACAAGAGACACGGCAAAGTCTGCTGGTTACAAATCAGTATGGGTTCGCAACTGCAAAATATTTGCACGGAAGGATGATACATCCCCAAAAATCCGTATAAGGGGGATTGAAGACTTGAAGAAATTAAAATGACTACTTTTTCGTCCCTACTCAGTCTTACACGTATGTTTTTACTACCTAGTTTGTTTTCTTAATACTGTTGTGATGAATGAATTCTGTCTCAACCTACTACAATTAGCATTTTACGTATCTACCCTCAATCTACTAATTTATATTTCACTTACTTATTATTTTAACAACACTATATCTACATTATTTACACTTCATATATTAGTCTATATATTTTATAACAACATACTTATACATCATATTTATTTTAATACACTTATACAACAAAGAAGGAATAAAACAGAGTATAATTGCAGAAATAGAGTTCCAACTAAAATTGTTTACAATTTGTGTACTGTAAACAACTACAATCGAGTAAACAGCTTTTTCAACTATTACTTTAGTACTAATTTTCGTCACAGGCCAGACGATATCACACCTTACTGTGTGCACGGTGAGGTGGAATTTGTTTTGAATGGGTCGCAGTCCTTCCTATTTAAATTCCCATCTAGGTATACTGAATGTTGCTGCGCAGTGATAGTTCAATCGTTTACACTATATATACTAATTATAACATGCCAAGGAGCACAGCACTTAGCCCTCGGGGATAGTCCGATATTTTATATTATATTGTCCTTTTTTAAACCTATAAATGGCCATCAACTTAAGTAATTTTACAAAACTTATATTGTATTACCAAAATGTCCGCGGGCTTCGTACAAAATGCTCGCAATTATATAACAATATTCTATGTAACAACTATGATGTACTCCTATTCACGGAGACTTGGTTGCAGGACGATATTTTCGATTCAGAGTTATGCGATAACAGATATGATATATATAGATGTGACCGTAATCTACAGTTAACCGACAAGCGGACTGGAGGTGGGGTAATGATTTGCACCCGCCGCGAGCTCTGTGCGGCTGTTAGGACTGAGTGGTCTTGCGCGACGTGTGAGTCTATGTGCGTGACTGTACCGGCTCACGCGCTTGGATCAACAGCTGATACACATTTAATCATTATATATATACCAGACATGGACGGTATAGAGGAGCGTTGTGTGGAATTGATGGAAAACCTTACACATTTAAGCGAACAATGTCCCAATGATAACATATTGCTCATAGGCGACTTCAATTTGTCTTGCCTTAAATGGGATATTAATAATCACTACACGATCCAGGGCAACATAAAAAGGGACATAGCCATCTCACTGATAGACGACCTGGGTTTTTTTGGGACTCACACAACACAATTATCTTGCAAACTCGATAGGTAACACTCTGGATCTATGTTTCAGTAATCTCCCTTTAACCGTTAGTAGGGTTTTAAGCCCAATAATTAAAGAGGATGTTTTTCATCCATCCCTGCACGTAGAGGCATTGGACACCTGCCTACAGCCCCTTAGGGAGGTTCGACAGCCTCGATTTAATTTCCGAAAGTGCGATTATTCTATCATTAATGATTATCTAATTAAAATTAACTGGAAGGAAATCTTAAAAGCTGTAACCATAGACGAGGCTGTTGAAAAGTTTTATAGTGTATTGAGCGAATGTTTTCTGCTTCACGTTCCAGTTACTAATTATAAAGACAATAATAAAAGTTATCCAGTTTGGTATTCCCCAGCCTTAATTAAGATAATATTAGAAAAATCTAAAGCACATCGTAAGTGGAAGTCTACTGGCAATCCAAGAGATTACGATGAGTTCGCCTTGCTTAGGGCAAGACAGCATCGGGTTCAGGCTCAATGTTTTCGTTCATTCACAAGTAACGCAGAGATCAATATAAGACGTTCTCCTAAATTTTTCTGGAAATACGTAAAATCAAAAAGGGGTGGCCCTTGCTATCCCAAACGTTTTACATTAAACGCTCAAGAATACAAGGACGGGTATAGTATCTGCTCTGCCTTCAATATATTTTTCGAAAGTGTCTTTATAAAAGGAGCTGCCAATACTCACGACAATAATCCTCCCACTTGCTCTTCTAACACTGATAGTATTTCTCAAATCAATGTCACCAATGATTGCGTCCTAAAGCTGTTAAAAAACTTAGATGATAGTAAGGGACCGGGGTGTGACGGTATCCCACCAATATTCTTACGTTGTTGTGCGGAAAGTCTTTCTTTACCAATCACTATTTTATTTCAACAGTCCTTGAGAGAATGTGTCTTTCCGAACGTATGGAAGAAGGCTCACATAATCCCCATTCATAAAAAAGGCTCCAAGGCATCTATAGAGAATTACCGTCCAATTTCTATCCTAAACACAGTGGGCAAACTCTTTGAGAAAATTGTTTATAACCGGATCTACCCCATAATTGAGCGTGGTATTCCTCAGACACAGCACGGCTTCTTAAAGGGTCGCTCAACTACCTCAAATTTAGCACTTTTTTCTAATTTTGTTCTTCAGCACATGGAGGGCGGTGGGCAGGTCGATGTGGTCTATACAGATTTCAAAAAAGCTTTTGACCGTGTAGACCATTGCATCTTAATGGATAAACTACAAGCTTTGGGTATTCATGGTGATCTACTACGGTGGATTAGATCTTACTTAGCCAATCGTTCTCAGGCCGTCGTAATGGGAGGATATAGGTCAGATTTCGTCACGATCCCCTCAGGCGTCCCCCAAGGATCGCATCTCGGCACACTGTTCTATAATGCCTATATATTCGATATAGCGAATTGTATTACTCATGCTCGTCACCTAATGTATGCAGACGATAAGAAGATTTTTCTTCGAGTGCGCTCTACAGCTGACTGTGAACTGTTGCAACAGGACTTAAATAATCTTCTAATATATTATACAAATAATAACATCATGATCAGCATTGATAAGTGCCAGTGTATTAGTTTCACTCGTAGGAGAAATCCGATCTTATTCCAATATAAGTTTAGCGACGCCATTATAGAACGGGTGAGCATTGTACGCGACCTGGGTGTCCTCTTCGATGACAAAATGCAGTTCACCTCTCACATATGCCGCATCGCTGACAGATCCCACCGTAACCTTGGCTTCGTCATGCGCACATGTCAGCCATTTTGTTGTCCTCTAAGTCTGAAGGTGGTCTACTTCGCTTATGTACGGAGCATTCTGGAGTATGCAAGCCCAGTGTGGTCACCTTCGTATGCAATCCACAAATCACGTATTGAACGCATCCAGAAGAAATTTATAAAACACCTGAACTACAAGTGCAAGCATTCTCCTAATTACTACATCGAGGATTGCCGCGTGCACCGTATCCTCACACTAGAAGAGCGCCGCGATCTGTTAGACATGGGCCTTTTATACGATGTCATGCGAGGGCGTCTGAATTGCCCTGAGTTGCTGGGGCTTATTTCACTGAGTGCACCTTCGCGTCGAACCAGACACACTCCACTATTTAGTGTCCCCTTCCAATCCACAAATTATGGTCAAAATGCTGTTCTCACTCGAATCCTTCGAACTTATAATACCAAATTTGCTGCTGTGGATCCTTTTATAGGATCTAAGCATTGCTTCATAAGCAATATCAAACAAAAAATTATTGACTAACAGTACACACACCTCTACTTTACACAAAGTATATTTATTATTATTTATTTATATAAATTAATAAATTATGTATGCTATAATTACACATTCATTTTTATTCCTTTAAATTCTTATTTATATTATACGTATTGTGTTGTTTATTATACTGTACAAAAGAATATTATATTATATTGTATGTATGTCACTTCGTATGTATATTATATTACATATATATAAATATATATTATATTATATTTCCCATACATCATGTTTTCCTTCTCAGAATTCATTTCAGTGCAGTCCTTAATATCCTACCGTAACCTATATTTTTTAATTGTTTACAGTAGGTGGTTAAGTTGCTATAATTATAAATACAATCAAGAATTGTAACAAGGGTTGGCAGTCATTGGCCTTATTTAAATTGTACCTAATTTAAGCTTATTTTATAATCTGTTGGCTGTTGCTACCCCAAATAAAATAAAATAAAAAATAAAATAAAGTGGTCTTTAATCATGATTATTGAATCTCATGAGACATTACCTGGTTACTTTTTGTAAAATTACAAAAAAATAATGAACTTTATGTAAATGGTTCTAAATATATCATAATATTCTCAGGTAATAGACAACATTTTGAACTACCTTTGACCGGCTAACCAAGTGACAGCTATTAGTATTAACCATCATGCCTAATGCATTATAAATTTGAATGTACTTTTGACAAATATGTATTTTGCCATATAGACGTGACTGCTATGAAGAATATTGTTATGGGCTTGCAGCCCTGACTTTGTACAATGGCGGAAAATGAATTCCAACACCTTATAAGTCGCTGACAGTAATGAGTCTTACATAGTTACCGCCTTTAAAACATTACTAACCGTCCAATTGCACACGGGACACCACTTGGCCTTCGACCACACTTTGGCTGCACACTTGTAGCAACAAAATATAAGTGCTATCCGTCCGTGTGTGAACACCCTAGACTTGGGCGGAACAAATAATACACAATATTGTCATCCTTTTCTAACTTATCACTGAAGTTCATTCCGATTTTTATAGCTATTTTTGTGTCGTCGCGAATCTAAGAATATTGCCCTCCTTTTTATTGCGCCGTTAGAGGGTAAAAGTCATAGACATCAAGTCTAGTAAACGTTAGCAAAGGGGGAAGACACTCGTAAAAACTAGTCTCATTGTCGACAAGTACTTTTATTACTGTTATAAAAAAATTACACCCTGTATGGTTTTTGGTATTGTATTTACGCTCTTCTATATTTAAGGTTAGTTACGGAGATTCATGTTTATTTTAATTTATTAATAGATTTAATAAAGGAGCCGTGGTTGCTTAACGGTTTGACCTGCCGATTTTCAAGCAGAGGCCGTGGGTTCAAATCCGGGCGAGCCCCTCTGAGTTTCTCAGAATTCTTTTCGGTGAGGTAAGAAAAATATTGTAATAAACAAGTTGTATACCTAAGGGTGGTATCACGTCTGCCACTAACAGTTTCAGCGCCAC